GTTGACGCTGCTAGCCAGAGCAGATATAGCTGGCTGCCCAGCAACTTGCGCCTCAACATATGCCGCCGTGGCCGCCTCTAGCATTGATCGATCACATGCTGCTGAGGCTCGGATTGCGAGCCCCAGCCACACGAGTACAACAGGGTAGATCATATCTTCAGCTTTACCTCGACTTCCCGAGCTATGTGTATCGTTGTTGTTGGGGCTCTTTCTCGCTCTCTAGGTAGATCACTTCGTATATGTCTGCAGAAATCACGATTATCGCAATCATCTGTCCAAGTCGCAATGATGAGGTCAATGAGGAACATAAATGGTTTTGTCTCCTCCGTTCTGCAATCGCTTGTCGAGTACAGGTTATAACATTTGGATTGTGAGGCAGTAGGGCTACCCCTCACAAATGATGCAGGCAATTACTGTCGTGGTTACAAGCAGTCTCCAAAGATTAAACAACTATCATAATGTATGCTTGTAGTCTTCGTCGAATTCTTTACAACAGGCGAGCAGATCACAGTCTTCGGCAGACGCTGCTCCATTAGAGTGGTTGCTTCTAGACCACCACAATTTACCCGCAATCTCCTCAGATTGCCGGTCTCCGAACCGGACAGGCTGTGGCGGCAGCAATACTGCAGGTCCTTGTAACTTTCGGCAGTGACAGCACTTGATCATTAGAAACCCTGAGACTAGATCGACGTGTCATCTAAGCACCTATAGCCATTGATTTTGACACATTATTACAAGTTCACACATGCGATCAAGGGAAGACATGAGCCTACTTTATTCTCAACTCGTGCTCTCTTCTCGAAAAGCAGACCCACTTATCAGCCGAATGAGACGATTGAACTCCTTTTTACATGGGTGGTCCTCTAGTTCTCCAGGTTCCAGCCTGAAACCACGCCGCCGCCACTCCTCATATTCAGGCACATCGACTGTATGGAATGGGATATCTAAGTCGCGGGCGACTCTATCCTGCCAGGCTGCCTGTGTCATGAGATTGTGGCAGTGTTCGCGACCCATGATCTTTTGGATTTTCTTGTTCTTGGCCATGTCACGCTGGATTCTTTCCCAATGTCGCTGGGCATTGTAGCGGCGAGGATCAGACGTAGTCCTCTTTAACCTGGCGTAGCTGAGAGGATAGCCCATTTCATCATAAACAGGCGGTCCATATGGCCCATTTCGTAAGACTTGTTGACGACGCTTTTCACCTTCATGGAAATCGAAATCTTTTAGTTCTGGTGGAACAATGGCCCCAACGTAGCCAATGGAGTGTTCCATGTCGCTTCGTTTTGTCTTAGGAGGCTTCCAGGTGCTCGTTTCTGAAGTTTCACACGTAGTCGTCCCACTTTTCTCGCTGTTAGAACCAATCTCCGTCTCTCCAATCTTAGGTTTGCTCTGATTGTCTTCGTCACTGTAATTGCATGATCGTTTAGGCATTCGACGCTTGGCGCCCGATGCGGGAGCATAATCCTCACTTTTGCGCTTACGTGGTGGCATATCGAATTTCGCGGAAAAAAAGGGTTTAATTAATTGAAGGTGTAATAAGTCAATACCTAGACAAACCAAGATATACACTTTGTAAAGTTCGAGAATATTCCTTCGTAGTGTTTTGCACAATGTTGTGACGTCAGAAGATCTGATTTTGGGGGGTGACGCGAAGACGCGTGGGAGCTGACCAGGGTCTTAAGTAAACAAACCCCAGAATCGTTAATAAATTACCCTCAAAGGCCTTCCAAACCCTTTCTTGTAACTGAGTTCTCAAGAGCCCTGTGAGCTGTTCATTTCAATTGTCGGGCCAACCGAGGCTCTTGATAGGGAATACCATTTTCTAGCGCACGGGTCGGTATTGCAACACTTTCAATTGGTAAGCCTTGTGAGCCAACTATTGGTCCTCCTCACCGTGCCATTGCGGCTACTGGTTGTGAAGAGAGATCTTCCAACTTTTAACATGCTCGCCTCGGATATCGTTATGAGAACTCTTGCTCACACACAATGCATCAGAATTCAGAATGCAGGCTTATAACGGTTAGAGATGTCTGCATTTTGATCCTCGCAGCCGCATTCTCGATGTATCCTAATTTTGGTAGGTGATTTCCGTGCGCCCCTTTTCTCGGCAGTGCACCGTGGTTGCCTGCGGCCTAGAAGACTAGAATATTGCGGCTCAAATATCTGAAAGCTAGAAATTCCCAACTGCATATGACTCGGTGAATGATGTGTACACCTCTAAGAACATTTTCTCGACATTTAAGAAGAAAGCGATGTCATGCGCCTTAGTGGCCTCGGCAAATATACCTTGGTTGTTCTTCAGTGCCTCGCCTGCCATGGGGTTGGTGTCGATGGACGACAGTCGCCCCAGCGAGCAGGGATGCAAAGTAACCTCCCATACTGTGAATTTACAAGATACTAGCTAACATCCCTAGGTTTCCAGTTGATTGACACTTTGTGGATTGACGGTGGGCGCTATCTGGACCAAAACGGCTCTATTGTAGAACAAGGTCACTAGACTGTTGAACATCCACACCAATGCCGTATGCTCACGAAAACACAGATATCGAACTCGCTTCCGCCAATCTGACTTTGGACTTTGGTGTAACCCCTGGTCCGGTACTTCAGACGACAACAAGACCAGGTGATGCTCCAATCGTGTCCAATGGCTTCATGTGGAGCAACCTGATAGACCATGCTTGGCTATTTGGTGGCACACCAGCGCCAAGCAATGTATCGCTTGCCAACGACATATGGCGTGTCACTGTGGAGAATGGCACTGTTGAATGATCTCAGACTGCTATTGTCGTTGATGCGGAGTATGGTCGCCCAAGCCACGGAGCCGGCTGCAATGTCCCTGACCTTCAGAGGGGCTATTATCTAGGCGGCATGCCTTGGAACAAAAGTTCATCCTCGGATGAGCTAGAAACTTATCTCCACCGCTTATGGATCTTTAACATGAAAAACGAGACCCTATCCTCCATCTCTGTTCCAGAATTTGTTCCGGTCGTCAATCAGAGCCTTGTCTTCATTGATACTGCTACAAGGAGTGGGGCCTTGGTTGCACTTGAAGGATATGTCGAGATGAACGGTATTCTTGAATTGGTAACTACACTTTTAAGGCTATAGGTAAAGACTGCTTGATACAAATGCTGATCTCTGAGAAGGCATCGATGACATCCGTATTCATCTTCGATATTGCAGCTCAGACCTGGACTGAACAGGTAGTAACGGACGTGAACGGCAACAAAAATGAGGATGATGATCACGAGAGGAACCACAATGTGAGCGCAGTACAAACACTGCCATCACGCCGAATGTCAGCATGCGCGGCTGTGGGCTCTTCGCATGATAGAACTTCGCATAACATTGTTTTGATTGGCGGACAGAATGAGGTGACTGCCCTGGGTGATGCATAGGTTTTGAGCCTTCCTAGGTGAGAGCTTACCTTCTTAATATCTTGTTGTTTCACTAAAGCCCGAACAGTGCCGTTTGGATAGAGGCGTCTTCCAATCCGGCATTTGCACCAAACTACCCGAAAGCAGAGAGCTCTTGCCTCCTTCTCAACTCACGCTTCTTATTGATGTTTGGTGGATGCCTCCTTGACGTCAATACCCACAAACCGTGCATGAGCTACTACGATGGACCCGTCAACTATGATATTACCCTTTTAAGTCCTGCTTCTTACTCTTATCACTAGGTCGGGTATTTGGTTCCGCAGCCTATCATAGACGTGATTGGTGGCAAGTGAATATAATGTTTTTGAATGTTCGACTCTTCGCTCACGATATCCCAGTGTTTCCGGTTTAGCAGCACATAGAGCGCCCATGTTCGCTAATTTTTCTAGCTCACTGCTTGAGACTTTATTCACCCCTCCTTATGGCACATGGCTGTGGAGACCCTTTTTCTACGAACGAAACGTGCTCATTATGCTGGTCGTTATGCTGGTGATTCCTTTGCCGCTCGCTGGTATCTTCGCTGGTGCTGGGTACCTTCTAAGACGTTGTCTCAAACGCAAGGAGAAGCCTGCACGACAGGGCTGGCGACCATGGCGTTTTAGCCAAATGTATCTGCTTGTCATAAATTACACAACACTATGCTTTATAGCTCTCGTCTTATTCTTGAACCAAAGAAGCAAGCAGCCCGACTCACTGGTTGAACGTGCGTTGGAATATTCAAAAACCTTCATATCGAATATCATGGCATTTCGATACTGTTACATAGAATAGATTGGTCCGGCGGCCCCGACTCTACTGGTACGTGGACTGGAGATCGATTCACATCTACATTTATCAGATCACCAACGCTGGAGAGACCACCACAGGGCCTCCTCTCCTTCTACTACGACTCTTCGGCTGCTGGGCAGTGGAGTCAGAAGAACGCCACCCAGAGACTCGGTCAAGCTGTCGCCTGGGTGTTCACCTTCCTGCCCACGCTCATTGCTGTGTTATATGGTCGCATGTGGAAAGCGCTGGACGACGAGGTCATGCGACTTGACACCTTCCGTCGACTTCAGCAGCCTGAAGGAGCAATTGGAGCAAGATCTCTCTGTCTAAACTATCACACGTTCTAAACCCCACTGTGCATTGTACAGGCTGTCAAATACAAGCATTGGACCGTTGCCATCTCCAGTATTGGCTCCGTCCTTGCGACAATTGTCGTGCCGATATTTCAAAATTACGTCTTCTACTGGGAAATCTACGACGGGGCGTTGCTGAACCGGCCGGACGATCCGTACTCCTGGCAAGTGGCACTTGTCGACGAGACATGGACTTACAGACTTGTGGCGGCTCTTGTTGCGGTTTGGCTATGTAGCACTGCTCTTTTATGCTGCCTCCCTAGACAGGCCACGGGACTTAAGGAAGACATAAGAGGGATCGTGGGGATCGCGTCACTGCTAGGAGACGAGCATGTTCCATCAAGGCTTGATTTGCAGCCGAACTCGAGCAAGGCAACCCTTCTAGAGGTGGAGAACATGCTCAAAGAGCAGACTTTCTACATCACACATCCGGGCACCCGACATGGACCCCGTCTTAAAGGTATGGGGTGGTTGATTCCCTCTCAGAGCGGTCTTCGGAGGGTTCTGGATGACCTGTTCTCCGGTTCTTTCACAGCAATGCGTGGGATACACAAGAATGCTCGTCCACTCACACAGCCATGCAAGCATGCCTTCTCAAGAGGTTGCGAGACGCTCGAGAGATACCTCAACAATGCCGAGACATTCTCCCCGTTTAGGCGTACGATATATCCTATCTGGCTGACTCTGCTGTTTCTGTTGATGTTGGCAGTTGGCTGGATTACGGCGAGCCTTAACAAGAACGCGAAAGATGCAGAGTGGAATTACACTGTACCGATTGATCCTGATGTATACCTGATTGTCGGTATTTTCATCCAGGTAAGCACCTACAAGAGCCATTTGCAACCACTAGAAATCTCTGATATAGACTACTAACATACCAAGTCCGTCGGCGACGTAATCGAGCACACGGTGCGCTCTCTCGCTCCGTTCTACGCACTATCAAAAGGCTTCCAGCCCCCAGAGGTGCTATGGGCAGACTACACAAGCGGGATCCCCGTCTGGGAGGTGGCTGTGGCGTGGTGGAACGGGCACTACCTACTCTGCTACGCGCTGTGCGCCTCCCTCGCGACGACCGTCTTCACCATCTTCCTCGGCTCGCTGCAGCTCTCTGCGTCCGCGTACGGCTCGACCTCGTTCGAGACGGACCCCGCGGCGGCTACGGCTTCGACGCTGCTCATCGCGTTTGTGCTCGCCGTGCACTTGGCGCTGGGGTATCAGTTCAGCTGGCGCAGGCGCGGATTCCTCCCCCGGGCGCCGGCTTCCCTGGGGGCGGTCATCCCGTATGTGTTCTTCTCGAAGGGACTGAGGGCGGATTTGCGGCGCGTGGAGGGGATGGGAAGCAGTAGGGCGCAGATACAGGAGCTACGACATCTAGACAGGCGGTATGGGCTTGGAGAGTTTGAGCATGATGGTCAATCATACTTTGGCGTTGAGAGGCATAGCAGTGAGCTTAGCGCTGTGCGGTTATTATATGAGCGACCTGGAGATGCCAATGGCACCGCGGAAGCCCATCCGTAAACTGATAGCAACATTTGTATTTTCAAGCATCGCATGTTCATGCGTGGCTTCTTTCTACTTACCGCTCTTCGCAAATTGCAAGAATTGAAGAGTCTATGATTGATGGTGAGCCGTGTGCACGTCCCCGTTCGCATGTGTCCGGGGGATAAGTGATGCAGACAAGCGATGCAGATACGGCGAGATTCTGGTCCGATCCAAGACATACTGTTGTGGCGTCCTTCCAACCACAAGGTATGTACCTATGGTTCTCTAATTGCAATTAAGCTCTGATCTACGATACGGCTGCCCATCTTCCAGACCATTGAAGCGACGCCTGAAAATCTCGCAATCACTCATGAGTATATTGAATCCATCAGGCCTAGGAGGATGGCCTAGGATCAATTCGGCACAGAGGACCCGAGAACCATTGGGTCGGGCACGTCTAACCCAACTTCCGGGAAGGCTAAGAAAGGAGACTAAAACAGCGCAGGGCAAGGCAGGCAAAGCAAAGCAAGGGAGACAAAAAAGGGAAAGAAGCGACCGCGCGACGAGCGAGGGCCGACCCCCCTCGTGGCTGTGAAACAGCGCCGGAAGCTCCCTCGGTGGCCCGCTGCCAGCCACCAGCCTCCTCAATTCAGGGTCCGAACCCCTAAGCACTGCTTGGTTCGTAGAAAAGGCGCCGTCTCTGGGCTAAGAGTCGAGCTCTGCCATCATGTGGAGGCCATAAGCAAACATGGCCGCCATAAAACTGCAGAAAAAGCAACGAGGACGTCATTTGTGAAGCGGTCTAGCGGAACTTGCGAGGTGATGATGGTGAGGCCTTGATAGCAACATTTCCTAAGGGACACAGCGTATACTTGGTGGTCAAGACGTCCCATTCCTGGCATTTGTGCTGTATTACAGGCCTCTCAATCCAGATGCATAACCGAGAAGATCATGTGAGAGGGGAACACGGAGCACCATCCTTAGACTCTGCTGCCGTTGCATCGAAGAGAGGCAATGCAACAGCAACAGCATAACGGCGGGCAGGCAGCGGACATTTTACAGTGAGGCTTGCAGGCCGATGCGACGGTGGGATGTGATTGCTTCTGCTGCACAAGATGAGAAAGGGGTCCGAGCTGCCCCTATTTTTGAAAATTTCTCAAACTCCTTGGGCTCTCTCTCTGTGCCTGACTGGCTTCTGAGTGACTGCCGCGAGTGGGGGCCTCTCCCGGGCTTACAGGGGTCGGAAAGTGCCCATCACACATCGCGAGACCACCGAGCAGGCCTGATCGAACCAACCGGAACAGGGGCGCCCTGCTTCCAGCACGTCGGGTCAGAGGCTTTGGGCAGCTTGATTGGCGAGGGACCAGGGGGTGTGAGGCTGTCGAGCACTTGTAGCGAGTTACAGCGTGCGCCGGCCCTCCAAGAGACTGCTGGAAAGGAAACCAACTGCCAGGAGGACAGTCAGTAAGCTGGCGTTGGTTCATAAAAGATATGCACGATGGACAGGGGGTTTAATGGGTTTTGCTCTGATGGGGCTAGGGGCAGCGTGACGGGACGTGACGGGGACGTGATGGAGGGCGGCGAGTGACCAGGAGAAGCCGGTAGCATCTGCTAAGGTGCCCGACCCCGAACAGAACTCAATCGACCAGCAGGGTTGCAGGCTGCATGTTGGGCTGCAACAAGATTCAGTCGGCGGCCGCATCGCCACAGACCAGAGACGATCAGATGAGATGGATGGATGGAGTCTCTAGATCTCGGGGGAGGGAGCACGAGGTTGTTGAGATGCGGCGGCCTGGCCAATAGCCACTTCTTCTGATCTAGATGCATTGCCAATGGCGTTCTTGCACAACGAGAGTGACGGGTGTCGCGGTTGATACTCACTCTGTCTGCATAGATCCGATGCTGTGTTCATTGGGTTCGTCGCATGCAGCGGCAGCGTACAACCAGAGAGCCCGATTGCGGTGAAAGCTATGCGATTATCGTCAGTCAAAAGATAACAGCAGCAGCAGCAGAAGTAGGCAATGACTCTCGTTCGGTTCCCATCTTGCCATAGAGTATCCAGGAAACGTCAGTCGGCAATACGTAGTAGACAATTAGTAGGTAGTAAAGCGAGATGCAATCAGCATTGAGGAATGATTGACGTCGTCGCTCTAACAGGAGTGACTTTGGGTCCACGGGCAGCGGGCCATCCCACCCTACTAATTTCGTGTACCTGAAAGCAGACTCTGGGGTGCACCGTGCACCGTCCACACGCACACGCTAACTCCCGCCCAACGTTAGTGGCTTTAGTGCCGTCGACGGGAGACGCGACAAGCTCCCCCACTGCTTGCCTGTTTTGTGACTGCCCATCTTGTCTTTCTCGTCAGTCGCGCCTGCTGGTCAAGGAATATGCAAAAAGAAAGAAGGAACGACGGAGAGAAGTGACGACTTTCCACCAAACAACAAACAACAAAAACGACAACTGACTTGGGCGACAAACCGAGCGAGCGAGCGAGCACTCAACTGCAGAACTATTGTATCCATTCACTCATTCCAGCTATTCTTCGGCTGCTGACCCGACAGGCGATTGCTGGGATCTCTCCTCTCCTCTCCTTGTTTGCATTGTGCGGCTGGCTAGTTAACGTTAGCCTTCATTCCTGGCTTATTCTTTGTTTTTGTGCCAACCCTTGCTCCCTTGCACATCATCGCAGCAACTTTGCACAACTCCAGTTACCCAAGGAAAGGAAAGGATGCCCTCCTGCTTCTAGCCCAGCCTCTGTTCATTCCTTACTGCTGGCTGCTTGAGACAACTCCGCAACACTCTCAAGATACATGACCCTCCTCCCACTGTAGTCAGCCTCTGTGCTCTTGCTTGCTGGGCAACCTCGCAACCCGTCGCTCCGCCACCCGAACATCATACCCATCTTCCTGGGTCGATCGGCTTGTTTACCAGGTATACTCGTCGACAGGGGCTCTGCAGTACGGACTGGCCCAGCCAATTTGGAAACACCCCGACTACCGTCTGCGATTCCAATCGTACTCCCCGCGACGAACCAAGAGCTCTTCCAACTTGCTCTGCTCTCCTCCTCAAATGATACTGCCATTGGGCCAGAGCAGCAGTAGTAGCTGTTTTATTTGTTAGTTTGCGCCGCCAGGAACTGCCGCAGGATTAGCAACCTACACCCTCCACGAAACCGGGTCCTGGTGTCCATGGTACAGCTATATCACAGCTTCTAAGACGCTCAAAGCGCAAAGCCGCCTTGACGTTTCCCGGGAGCCATCGCACCACACCCAGACAAACATTGGGAGGACCCCCCCATTCCCTCCCTCCTGCTACGACTAGTTATCGATAGACATCCCGAGCAGTCAACCCTCACCCATTCTATACAGGCATCACCCTGTTTGTCTTGCTGCCGACCTTTCTCCCTCCCTCCAGCTTGCCACCCACCCACATCACCAGCGCCTTGCTGACCGCCAACTTTCTTACATCCTGTGTGACCTGTCAGTACACTACGATTCGATTGGAGCTGAACCCCCTTTTGCGGAGGGCAGAGACTGTGGAGCTAGGACAAGTCGCAAATCCTGTGCCTCTCACTCCTCTTTCTGATCCGTCATCATGGAGGGTGTTGGGAGTCAGAGCCAGCCGAGAGACCGTTCTCGACCTCCTGCTCCTCCCTATCCTCGCGCACCCTCAAGATCGAGCACTAGCACGTCAAATACACGAATGACTCCTCAAAGCAACAACAGCTCCTCCACAAACCTCCCTCCCTCGCCCACCCTACGGCATGCCCATGCCGCTCATCGGCTCAACCACAGCAGTAGCCGTCGAGGCTCGATACCCGAACGACCGCGCTCTCAACTTTCCAAGGAATCCTCGGACGAGTCACATCAGGGACTGCCGGTGGTGTCTACCTTCCTCCAGGAGAAACTACAACGGGAACGGCGGTTCGAGAGCGAGCGATCGTCGAGCAGGATGAGCAACGACATGACTTCCTCCGTAGACCTCAGGGTCGTACACAGCTCTCCCGCCAGAAGCGCGACGGCTGATGGCAAGCGACCTCGTTCGAGTGGTGGAAGCGGCGAGTCGACCAAGAAGAAGGGTCTCGGTCTCAAAGAGATGGAACAGGTACAACCCCTCTCTGGTTCTCATATCGTGTACCATCTCTTCGAACAATCATGCTAACTTGATCGTGTAAATAGACACTGTCCACTCTCCACAAACAAAACTTCGACCTCAAGCTCGAGCTATTTCACCGTCGGCAACGTCAAACTACTTTAGAGGAGAAGGTCGAGACATTAGAGAAGGAGAAAGACGAGGCTGAATCAATGAACCAGGCCCTACTTGGTGAGCTTGAGAAGAGAGACAAAGCAGTCGAGGAAGCTGTGGGCATGATCGTAACGTTGGAGGCGCGGCTGGAACAGCTTCTGCGAGAAAGAGAGATGGTTAGACAAGTAGAAGAGGTCGACAACTTTTTCCTGTCGCACTCGAGCAGCTTTTCCGGCGGGCAAGATGGAGCAACTCCGAGAACTAAGGATATGGGAGCTACTGGATCGCGCGACATCTCTAGGGAACTGGCCAGGATGCCCAGCTTCCTCTCCGAAAGAAGCGAAAATACCGAGAACCTGCGAAACGTCTACTTAGGGGTCCGAGGAAGTGTGTTAAGTCTGCCTAGAGGCGTCGATGATGCAAGAGACGGGAACCTGAATGGGGTTAACAGTCCCAGCTTGAGCGTCTTGAGCGAGAGCTCCTTCCTAAGCATTTACGGCCAGAAGAACAACCTTGACAGCTCATCGCCGCCGGATGCGGAACAGACAACCGCACTCGATGGATCTTCCGAGAAGCCAACCGTTGTTAGGACAAGGAATGGCAGAAGTTCATCGGTATCGCGAATCGTGACGCCAACTAGGATGCGCCGCTCGGGGTCCTTAGGTCGAACGAACACCATCAGTGCCTTCTCCTCAATCAATGATGTCCTGGAAGTCGATAACCAGTCACCACTACAGCGACTGGAAAAACTAGAGATGACGCTCACCGCTATGGACGAGGCTTCGCGACCGCCTACGCAAGAACGAAGCAACCATGATGCGGCTCCACGTCAATCAAAGAACCAACCGTCACGGAGAACGAAAGAGGAGAAGAGAGAGGCTCTGCGCAAGGTCTTAACTGATGCGCCTTACTCCAAGGACATCAATCATGCCCATATTCTCCCGCCTACTCCAGACACCATCTCCACCTCAACTCTGACACGTTACAAGAACTCAAATGACACGCTGTCACAGCAGCGGTCCGTGACAAAAGAGAGAAGCTATCTAGCTCTCTCCGAGTCCACGACAGACCATTCTGCCAGCGGGGAGAGGAAGTTCCTTTCCACCACAGGAGCTCCAACCTCACAGCCGGCATCGACATCCGCATTTAGCAACAGGAGGGAATTCTCAGGCGGGAGCTACTTTGAAGACCGTCTACCCATCCCTCAGCGTCCCCGCTCTGCAGATGAGACTACAACCTCTCGCCATCTCGGCGGTAATGGGTGGGACTCGGATAGCTACGACGACTTCGACGACGCTGCCTCCGCCGCTTCAAGCTTCGATTATTGGATGCGTGAGAGCATGAAACCGAACCGCGCTCTTGCGAACGCAGGGCATGGCCGGAATCTGGGTCGTGTATCTCCCGATCTCTTCAGCTTCCCGTCGGGAGGAGCAGGCTGGGGCAACAATGACATGTTCGCGGGAGGCTTCATGGGTAGCGCCAATGCCCCGTTGGCTCCCACACTCGATGCTCTAGGAGCATCATTGCCGACCCCGCAGGCTGGCATCTTCGGTTCTGGGATCGCGCCGGCGCTTACCAATGGGACTTATGGCCCACCTCCGCCGCCGAACAGGCGCTCCAGTCTCCATGCTCGTACGGGCTCGTCTGCCCCTGGCACGCCATCCGTCGCATCTCGTCAGGGCCCTGTTAATGGTAAACTGAGGAAGTCTCCTGAACGGCGACGGGGAGGATCGATGTCCAGAACAAATAGCTCGGATGGGAGGCCGGGCTCTCAATCTCAGCCTTCAACTACAGTAGCGCCCCAGGTGCAAACGCAGGACGGTCAACAAAAGCGTCATTATCCTCCGAACGCCAGCCAACAGACTACACAGTCCCGAGGCCGGGGTCTGAACAACTTGTTCCGGCGTTCAATCGGCTCTGCTCCGCCAGACAACCACGTTGTCCCTGCATCAGCCCCGCCAACTGAGTCGTCCTTCCCGGCTGCCGTTAAGAACGGCCCGGTACCGATGGTTGGTGTGCCATCGTGGGGCAGACGGGCTGATTTGATGGACGATGATCGTGCCTCGGCCACACCACCTCCGATCATGCGGAATAGAGGCCCCGGGCGAGGCAGTGTGGGTGGCGACGAGGCCGAGATGGCAGCTGCTGCGTCTGCTGCGGCGGCCGTTGTGGGTACAGACTCCGGTCTAGGCGCGGGCTTAGACGAAGTCATGGCACCCCGAGATGGAGGCGCACCACTAGGTCTCTCACCTTCTGCCACTGCGCCGGAAGTGGCTGCGTCTAACGTGGTGGTCAACGCACAGGGCAAAAAGAGAGGCTTCTTCGGCTTGGGGAGAGTGACGAGTCTGCGAAAGGGCGCGCCTTAGGAGGACCGCAAGAAGGAAGACCGTAGCAAGGAAGACCGTAAGAAAGAGGATGACAAGAAAGCTTGTGATGAGCGAAGCGATTTCGAGACTTACGTACCGCTGATGTGGTCACCGCTTTCGATCATACAACGGAGCTTTATGGGTTGGATTTGATCAGTCCGCGCGTTTTTGAACACGAGTAGCGGCCCGCTCGTGGAAAGCGACGAGCAAAACATGTTTAGATTGTCAGAACAAGGAATGCTTCGCTGGCTATTGTGCTTTTTGTATTGGCGCTTTGGAAAAGGTTGGACAAGGAAGCATTCAGGTTGTGCTACTACTCTTTTATCGGTTCTGAAGAACCGCAAAAAATCGCCCAACGAGGCGAGAATTGACTTGTATAATAAGATTACTATACCCAATATACAATAGGATAAGATATCCACCATCTCAGATATTTCCAATGGGCTGGTAGCGGTTCGTGTTTGACCCGATGGTGACTGGTTAGATGACGGCAACCCAGAATATATCCCGATAACAAGCGAGACAAAAATTAGCACTCACAAAGTACGGTATGTGCGTAGACGACTGACAAAAGATGGTAATCAAATATCAAGAAGGCGATATGAATTATATTACCTAATTCGACGAAGCTAGAATCTATACTAAAGGGGTATTGGTCAAGAGATAGAAAGAAAGTCGCTCTCGATCCGAGGGTGAGAGTTGATACAAAATTTCGGGAAATTCGGCGTGCCTTGGCGGTTACGCATATGCGTTTTGGAAGAAAATACTCGTCCTGAGGGCAGCTTCTCGCAGAATCCATCTATCATCAGGAAGCGTGGGAATGGATCTTAAAGACCTGACCCTTTGTGTGGTTGACAAATTGCCATTATGCTGCAGCATTTGGATGGATCGGAAGGTGCTATGTCTACTGTCGAGGGTTACTTCTCGAACATGAGCGTTCTCTAGATGATCATCGGTAGCCTGGATACTCGACATGCTGGCGTAGTTGAGTTTCTCGTTCTCAAATTTTAAAGACCAATGTTCATTGACTATGCATTGACCTGATGCCTTCAAGCTCCTGGATACGAATAAGGAGAGGTTCCGAATCAGCGTCTTTATCCAAATTCTTAAGTTTTCCTATGGCGGCACGCGTACTGACTCTGCTGGTGCACGCTTGAGCCTTTCTACTTGGACTGCCTCCCTTAACATATTCCCGCTTCGCCTCGCCATCGCCGTGCTCACACCGAGTCCCAGCGGATCAGCAACAAACTCCCGTCCCAGCAGCGCAAATAGCACGGCCGCACACCCAATCACGACAAACATGCTGCTCATCTCGAGCGCAATGAAGAAGCGCGAACGATAGCGAATCACCATCCACACGCCCCCTCCCAACGTGCTCAGAGCAAGCAGGAGCCCCGGCCGGCCTCTCGCCGCATTCGCTACCGCGCCCACCACCATTGGGATGACCCCGCGTGCGGTATAGGCGACGAGCTGGCACGCGTTGAGGGGCGCTTTGCTCCAGTGCTTGCGCAGCACGAGATCGAGCGCGGCGCGGTTGGCGCTGTTGGCGGGCGAGAGAAGGCCGAGCTTGGCGTACGCGATGCCGAAGGAGACGGTGCTCAGCGTGCGCGCGAACATGTACTCTGCACAAGCGAGCATCCAGGCGAGGTAGCACACCTTGGCGGTTGCCATGGCGCGCTTGGGGAGGAGCGGGCTGGCCTGGGGCTGGGCGCGGAAGCGCCATGGAAGGCGGCCGTTGGTGAGCACGAGGAGGCCGGCAAGGTACGCGCCGGCGAGGTCAAAGGCCCACTTCTGAATGTACATGAATGCGAGCCAGGGCCACGAAAAGTCGAGCATCTCATCGAGGAAGACCTCCGGATTACCGCGTGCGAGGCGGAGGCCTTCGAGCGGGTCGTTGTACATCCATGCGCCGAGCCAGGGGACGAGTATGCGGCGGATGTGGTGCACGAGAACCGCGATGCCAAATTGGAGGAAGGCGGTGCGGTAACCGTCGCGGAAGAGGGCGGGATTGGTCCGTCGCCAGAGATTGGCCATGCCGCCGGCTATGACAATGGAAGAGACCTCATCTAGTGGGCTGAAGGAGTAGGAAGAACGGAGTGTAAATAGTGGACTCAATATTTGACGACGGGAGAGTTGATGAAGAGAAGAAGGAACGGCGGACTGGAAGAACGCTGTCAGGGGGTAGGATGAGTGCATGTAGGAGGGCACAGCCGAGAAGGAGGAAGCTGGCTGCGATAGTCGTATGTCGTTGATGGTGAATGTGGAATCAACCCGGGCGCGACCAATAGACTTGGTCTTGTATATGACGCCAGTTGCAAACCAACGCGCACTAGATATATTGCTAGGTCGTACATGGTCTCTCAATACTGGAGAGTCTTCTTTATCTTTGGAAGTTGGACTAGATTTAAGACCAATCGCGCTTGTTCTCATGCGTATCAGTCGTGCGGCTTCGAAGCTTGGGTCGCTGGGATCGTGTATGCTGAAGACTTCACGAAAGTGTTTACCTGAAAGCTCGTCCCAATACGGATAACTCGCGACTGCCTCCATCCAATTCGCCACGTTCAGAAGCACATCTATCGGCGAATGGTCGTCGCCATACTGCCTCAAAAGCGCTTCGTAAATTGGTGAGCGGGATAGAGCTACACAGACCGAGCGCAGGCCGCGGGCTGCGTCTGCAAATCTCATAATCACGCGGTTCTCCTCCTTTCCAACATATGGGAGCGTTTTCCGCAACGATTGATCGATTGAGAGCGTCTCAATCTCGGAACTTGACTCCGTGAAGTATTCCGGTGCATGCCGTCTACCCTTCATTATTGCTGGTTGGCCCATGTTGCTGGCCCTGAACGCCTCTATGGCCGAGCAAGCGTTCTGCAGTATTATGGAATAGCCGCGACCCTGGAAGAGTCCAGCCAAGGCAGTGCTGGGTCGTTCAATGGCGAGTTGCGCGTCTCGAATTGATGCAACACACTCCCTGTAATTATCTGCAGCTGGGAGAATTATGGGAGCAGTGACGAAGTCAACAAGCCCAAGCAAGAACATCGACGCATCAGTACACACACGAGTTGCCATCTCATTGAAGCGGTTCGCCACATCTTGATTCGAGAGCTGGAATCCAGATGATGACAAGTGTGTGCTCCAGTAATTCCAAGCATATATGATCAGAGATGAATCAGTGCTGGTGTCATGAACATGCGCCAGGCGAAGAGTCGTTGCTGAACAGATTCTCATGCATACATCAGCAGCGAGAAGATGTGCTTCGGGCGTTGCAAAGGAGAGCCGGGACGTGTGCTGACCGGCTTGTGCTTCATCTTGGATGTGATTCAAAATGCTAAATACTCCTTGATCGCAACAAGAGACGCGCCTCTCTGAGCCATCTGCGTTCCCGGGCTGGATTGTGACGAGGTCGCCGATGAGGGCTTGCAAGCTTGCTACGGCGCTTTGCCCTTTGACATATCCCGATTCGGTGACGAGCCTCTCGATGCGCTCAATATCCTGCGACGCTTCAATCTGCAATGCCATCCACAGCTCATGCGCGCAAAGCGGTCTCTGGGCGACGTGAAGCCACATGAGAGCAGATCGTGCGAGGGACTGTTCGGCCTCGTTCAGATGCTCGCCAAGCTTGGCCAACCGGACCCTGACCTGGCCATGATCCTGGTCTGCCATGCTGTTTCCAGCAAGGTAATCTGTGCAGGCCAACGTCGTCGATCCGGGAAAAGAGCACCCTTGAAGGCAGGAAGCCTCACTTCGTTAACATCATGCACATCGGCTTCAATGACTTATATATATATATGCGCTTCGACGTAGCTCAGTTTGAAGGTCTGAAGGAGGAAGTGGACAGATTTCGTGGCAACAGGCTTTAGCCCCGCGGCGTTGGAAAGTGGTGCCCTTTGATAGTGGATGGAAATGAACTCGGCCCTTAACCCCAAGACCAACGGAGCTGCTAGCAGTCACCTAAAGTGCCACTAGCATTTGCCAACGAGCCATCAGAACACTACACGACTGGGTAAGGGACAGAACGTAATCACGCCTGAAGCTCGCTAGAGGCCCCTGAATCACCTAAAGAGTCTTGTTTGTCATTTTCGTTTTTATTTTATTTTTGTTAGAATGATATGCCTGGGATCTATGCAATGCATAAGGCGAACTTGCGAGCACCGGTCTAAGCAAATAGCACAGTCTGCCTCGGTATGAAGTTCTGGCCGTGTTGTAACTCAATCCCTTAGTTCAAAGGGGGCTTTTCAATAGCACTCAACTCCTCCCGACCAGTTGTCCAGTGTTTTGCAAGCTTGTACTTCTTCCCTGCCGCCGGCCCTCGATGGATCAAGGTCATCACCTCCCGGTCCTTCATATCTGTCGCTTGCACGAGGAGTGGCATTGTCTCATCTGAGGTAATTTGTGCAACCGCCTGCCAGCTGTTCCCTAGCATTGTGAACCGAGTGCTGCAGAGATACCAGACTGTGGTGCCAATCACTAGCAGGAGATGTATCGCCGTCATGGCCAGTACGATCTCAAAACCGACCCACCGGGCTGGGACCTGGACAATGAGAGAGTTCATGTACGTCGCTGGGCTGCCCACTGTGAAGCGCGGGAGCTCGTCGAAGTATGCCTGTTGCACAAGCGTCATGAACCACCCTTTCAGCGCTTTAGCAGGGCTACGAGTAGTTCTCAGAGTGTCGTGGAAGAGGCTAACGTGTGCTTGATTGCCCGACTGAGAGAATTGCTGGCCGCTGTCAAGACATTTCCCTCGTATCATGAGCGCAGAGGGATAAGTCGAAGCTTCACCAAAGGTTCCGTTTACCAAGACACCGGTCGTCGGCAAGGAATGTATCAGGCCTTCCCAGAAATCAAAACGGTCCACATCGAAGGGACTTCCCCAGTCCGTGTACTGGTAATCCAGGGCCATCAGTCCTCTTTCATCTGGTAGTTCATATTCCGGTAAAACACCTAGTTGCCGTCGCACGTTTTCTGTATTGTAGGACAAATAGATGTCGCTAGTGTCGCCCAGTTCCCATTCTGTCTGCAAAGTCCCCGGCCACGCCAGTGATGGTTCCGGTCCATCATTTTGGCTCGTAGCGGAGATGTTATACACATAACCATCAATAGGCCCTGAAGACGAAGGGTCTCGGTTGGCGCTGAAAGCACTGCGACAACTCGTGACAGAAATTTCTATATCTGTATTGTTGGTCAATATTGCTGTTGTCCATGGTCCTTCGGTAGAAAAGAAAAAGCTGTCTGGGCGAAAATTCATCAGAGGAGAATCAAGACTGTTATTCGTCTCTAATATCCAGTTCAATATGGAAGGCGCAGTGGTGTTAAACACGAGGAAGATATAGTATCTGTCGAATTCCGAGATGAAGCACACGGAAATATTCCACATTAGGTTATACATTGGGTCGGACATGGGAAGCAGGCAGTAGAATGGTTCTGGTTCTGATGAAGGGAATGTGCCGTCCAGTGTGAGGTTCCCTGCAATAGCACTACCAGACTGATCTGCATCGTAGACGGCGGAAAACGTAATATTTGCAGGTGTGCACACTACGCCAGTGTCGAAGACAGTGGCTGGTCCTGTGTAATTTCTGAGCGTCTCTCTAGCTCTGCTTGTCGAAAACGGAAGAAACGCTGTAAAGGAGACTCCAGTGTCGTCGATTTGCTCATCTGTATTTGCTGTACTATTCGAGAACTCTGCGAATCTCGGATATTGTCCAGGATTAGACTGCCACATATTAGGAATTGTGCCGATAGTATCCCTCCCGTACGCTACTATGGACGAGTTCAGATATCCGGGAATATTGATATTCGTGAAATCGCTCAGCAATACTGTAGAGGTGAAGATAGAGGCCAATGTGGTTATACTTGCAACAACTATAATTGGCAAGCAAATAAGTGTGGAGGCCCTCGCGACCTCTCCACCGCCAGAGAAAAGTAGCGATAGAGGTTGAATACCCAGGGCCCGGACGATAGAAAAGAATGGCGCTTGCTTTAGTCTGACCTGGCAGCGTTCTAGAATGATGGATGCAATCATCGACATGACGACGCCCGTTTGCACTGAGATAGCAGTGCGTATTACTGCAGCACAGATAGTGACGGTTCTCGTCGCCCAGCCACCGAAGACAATAGATCGCCAAGCATCCCCAGGATTGCCTTGCACCTTTGCTATCATTGCACCTTGCCAGAGCAGACCCAGGGTTCCCATTGCGGCTGCAATTAACCCGCATCCCATGGCGAGGAGGGCAATCTTAGTAGAGCCAATGGATTCCCATGATCTCCGAAATCTGCTCATTACCGCACCATCTCTCTTATCTGATACCACCCCTTGATATGCCGGAGATTGCGCTTTGGGCTCGGATTTCTGCATCTCCAAATGAGAGTAGACAGTGATCGTAGGGGATTGAACGCTATTTCAAGGGCTGTCTCGTATCTGCCGTAATTGGCAAGCCACCAAGAGGAAGAAGAGAGAAACCGCTCAGCTCGAGAGTCGTTGCTTTTACGGAAGACAAGGCTGAGAAATTTGAAACACAACGTGCCGTCTCACATGATATCTATTGTGGCTGTAATCCTCAACAAAGATTGGCCGAGACTCGGAATCCCCTGGAGAGAGGCACGTAGGACTTCTTGGGCAATTGTGAAAAAATATCTATCAATCATCGTCTATCCAGGCAATATCAGTTCTATCATTAAAACTCGACATACTGCATACAGGGTTCAACCAATTCGAAAGCAACATTCAGCCAATGCTTTTAACACAGATCATGTGTGACGCCGTAGCCCTGACAAATAATCCAGGAAGGCCATCCATATATATTTCCGAAAGCAGACAAGCGAATTTCTCATGTGAATGGTGAATTGTTCTTATGATTGATTCGTGATTAACATGATGTAAATAAATAACTCGAAGTACAGCTTTGGATACGAGGATGAGTACGCCATAGGTAAACTGAGGGGCTGCTAAGCGCAGGCAGTCTAGTCTCCCTCTAGTTTAGAGCCATAGCATTGTCACCCATCTCTATTTATGCCTCACGACCAGAAACTCGTCCCCATTGTGAGCTCACGACGCCGACTTGGATCGTGTAGGCTTACCAAGCTCAGCCCTGATCCGTACAGACCCTGGGTTGGCGTAGTTTCATTCCGACACACTCGTTGCCCTTCTGGAGCTGGACTGTGTTAAGGTCGCCAGGCTTTGAGAAGGGCCATATGTTGGGTGAGCACAAGCCTTGACAGAGCCCTTGAGCGTGAAAGCGATGGCCACCACCCTGTACGAGCGAACGCATCTCCCCAAGGAGGCAATGCAAATCCGCCTACTAGAGTTACAACCACTTCAAGAGGCCGATACTCGGACAGCTGGCGAAGGCACTGCCGTGTACGCCGATCACGAGCATATTGCACCCCTTCGAGGTCGTCTCTTCTCCACACCAATTGACGGCGCGTCGTTTCAGGCATTGTCATATGCTTGGGGCTCTGGAGAACAGACTCACAATCTATGGGCAACGTCTGCTACGTTCGGGTCTGACAATGATGAGCACCTGTATCCTCTACCAATCACCGCCTCGTTGGATCAGGCGCTGCGTCATGTGAGGCAGAGAACAGAAACACTGACAATATGGATCGATCAGATCTGTATTGATCAGAACAACATGGAAGAAAAGACTCAACAGGTAGCTCTCATGACCCAGATCTACACCCAAGCCTCAAAAGTTCTTGTCTGGCTTGGACCAGGAACGCCGGAGTCAGATCGCCTCATGGACATATGGTGTAGTGTTGGGCAGGAGGCGCGTGATTGGGGTTTGGAGAGCTATTATACAGTCGAGCGCTTTCCACTATTGAAACAAATTGAGACTGGGGTCGTTCCTAAAGATCTGATGGATCTTACTGTTGCCTTTGACAAATTATGCGAGAGAACTGCCCTGAGGTTCTTGGGCAAGACATCATTCAACGATGCAGATGACCTGAATGTCTTCAGGTCTATAACGGATTGGTACCAGCGACCGTGGTTCTCACGAGTTTGGGTCATACAGGAGTTCGCACTGAGTCAACAGCCCGTTTTCATATGCGGCAATAAAACAGTAGAGGCTCGATTAGTTTTATTGGCGAAACAGATTCTTGAACGATCGAAGACTATTCGACTGATTTTGTACAGAGACAGGAATACGATGCAAGTCTCATCACCTCCTGACACAATTGCTGCCTTTGACAGAGTATATTATGATACGACACAGCCTTTCTTCACTGCTGCAAGTCGTCGAAGGAAATTAAATGGCGATCATGGCCCTGGTGACGCTCTGTTTCAGCTTCTTGTTCGGGTGTACGCAAATCGCAACGAACAGGAATTCATGGCTAAAGACCCACGAGACCGTATATACGGATTGCTTGGCCTTGCGATGGATAGCAAAATGATGGGAATTATTCCGGACTATTCTCAAAGTGTGACAGCAGGCCATGTGTACACGGGAGTCGCGAGGGCTATCATTCACCAGCTGTCAACAGAACCTGGTGATGACTATGCACTGGACATCATGGGGCTCATTCACTTCCCAAAACACGGACCAGATGGGTTGGTTCAAGCGCTCCCTAGTTGGGTACCAGACTGGTATCAACTCCAGCAATCCTTTTGCGCCCGTATTCACTCGAGCATTAAGCAGCCTGTCCTCTTTGCCGCGTCAGGATTTAACAGAGTTGCTCACATATTAGTGACCACAGCAGATGACATACTGGGCCTGGAAGGATATTATGTTGACGAAATTGCCGAAGTTGGCACTCCTTGGCTTGGGGCTTCTGACAATGACTACGCATCTCATCTTATACCATTACGAGAGGTAAAAAGGTTATATGCCATCTCTACCAATATGCTGGCGCCAGCCGGGCTTGACGACTCTCGAAAACGTGCCGAAGCACTTTGGCGAGTACCAATTGGGGACATTCAACAAACCGAAACAGTACCACAACGCGCCACTGCTCGCTCTCACCTTGCATATAACTACTTGCTTGACAAACAGGGTCCTTCACTGGCAGGATCGGCCGACGAAGATCAACAGGAGTCTGAGCGGTCCCTGCGTGAAGAACAAAACAGATATACAATGCGTATGAGAGAGATGCGAAATATGCGTCCAATAGTGACGAAGAACCGAGGTTTTGTTGGCATGGGGCCCCTTAGTACGCAGCCAGGCGATGCTGTGGTTATTTTCTGCGGTGCACAAGTGCCACATGTCATTCGGCAACAAGATCATCCCAAGACATTCTCCTTCCTTGGAGAGGCTTATTGTCATGGAATCATGGATGGGGAAATACTGGCTGAAGAACAGAACTCAGAGGCTTTCTACTTGATATGACATGATAAAATTACCTCACGCTCGATCGAACCACGTGCTTGAACGGGTCTGGGCAGGCGGCAATGGCTTTTGACTAGTCGGATGCTTTGTACATGCGATTTTCTCATGACTATTTCGAAAGAGGTCATCCTTACAAGATCATGGTGTAGGCATTTAATTACACGGCATTAGCGTCAAGTGTTGTCCTGCCTACGGTGGACAAGCTGATCAGCAACAGGGGACTTGAGAGCCGGTGATGGCTGGAGTTGCAGCAAGTAGCGTAGCAATATTGACCTCTTAGACAAAGTAGATTTACAGTGTTCCCTGCTTCTAGAAAGTCTTCGCGGCGCAACGTATCAAGCTTAAATCGATGTCAGTGTGGGACGACATGGGATGATATCGGCTATCGTGTCGATCGTTGCAGCCCTAAATTGCCTCAGCGCGCACCGTGCCTGACAACGGGAACTCCTTCCACATCCCGTTGCTCGAGAAGCTGTGGCTTGCTTGTGAAGGCGCTGGACTACGGCATGCCGAGACTCTTATCTTTCAGTGAAATGTCCTCTCAACTTCCGTATCGGGGAGGTTTCATTTGTCTGCTCGACTTGGTGAGGTGGCCGGCTGGGCATTATCTTGGCATGTTAGCGAAGCCTCCGGCTCCTCTTGATTTCTGAACTCCCGCGTCAAGTCCCGGACCAGGTCCTACGATCACCGGCAGCGGTTTGTAGAATTTAATTGGTGCTAAAAGTCAGGTGGCATTTCAGCAGCAGCCCCCCTATTAAACTGCTTCTTCACCCACACCCTATAACGTCGCCAAGCCGCGAAGTACTACCAGCATAGCACCGAAAAGACGACCCCAAAATGCAACAAGCCCAGACCCTCGCCCCCAGATAACGTGCCGCCGAATAGGCCGTTAACCTGGTTTTGAGGCGTCCAATCCAGCGAGAAACGATGGGCGCAATTGAACAGCTAACGACGTATAAGGAAGGTTATACTCTTAAGCCTTGTGTGAACACTGAGTCGGCTTCGTCCAGTCTGCTCATAATGGATTGACCTTCCAGGAACAGTTGAGACAAGTGCACCTCGGCTTGATGACCAGACTTGAGATTATGACTATAAAATCTCACACGTTCTCACAATTTAGAGTCTCTGTCAGCTCATCATCTGGCCTTGTGTAAATTAGCCTTGGAAGCCACTACTGTGTCTCATCAGACTTCATTTGCAGATAAACACTTTCTTGCTTCCTTCATCATGCATGTGAAGTCTGCTTTGCTCTCCGCCCTTGCGGCCTCCAGTACCATGGCAGCTGTAGCTCCAAAGCTCTTCAGCTGCGGTACACCAGAGCCAAGTGAAGAGCACAAGAAGTTGTCTTTGGCTCTCGCAACACAGGAGAAGGAGATGGCACTGGCTAGCAACGATACCTTCACCACCATGGCCACGATTAGCGTTGATGTGTATTTCCATGTCGTGGCTGCATCCACTGCGCTGAGCGATGGATACGTGACTGTCAGTCTATATCGGGCTATGACACTATATATATGTACTGATTTCCGCAGGATACCCAACTCACCAACCAGCTCTCGGTGATGAATGCAGCATATGCACCGCAAGGCATTTCCTTCGTGCTCAAGGGAACCGATCGCACCATCAACTCCAATTGGGCCAATGACAACTCTGAGTTGGCTATGAAAAAGGCGCTCCGCAAGGGCACCTACCGTTCGCTGAACCTGTACTTCCTTAAGTCTCTCAGCGGCAACTTGGGATACTGCTATTTCCCTGCCAGTGTCACTTCTGGATCAAACGACTTCTATTACGATGGCTGCAGCATCCTGTACTCAACTGTTCCAGGTGGTAGCCAGACTAACTACAACTACGGCCAAACTGTCACCCATGAGGTCGGACACTGGTTTGGCCTGTACCATACTTTCCAAGGCGGCTGCACGGGCAATGGCGACTATGTATCCGACACCCCCGCTCAGGCGTCCGCTTCTTCTGGCTGCCCCGTTGGCCGTGATTCTTGCCCGAGCCAGGCTGGTGTTGACCCCATCCACAACTACATGGACTATTCATATGAGTACGTAACACAATTTTGACAAATGCTTAACAGCGTACTAACGGGTTTATCAGCACTTGCTACGAGGAGTTTACTGCTGGCCAACAGTGAGTCATGAGTTCTCTCTATATCTGATCTCATAGTTACTAACGGATTATAGGACACGTATGTACAGTTACTTCAACACATATCGTGAGGGCAAATAGATGGACTTGGCGGAGAAGGAGGTTCGTTCAAGATAATTTTCAACGAATCAGCTCTACATGCCACTATCAAGAAAAAACCGCAGCTGCTAGTCAAGTAGGGGGTGGTGCAACATGTATATACGGAGTAAATCAAGTATAAATCTGATTTTATCTATAATTTGAATCTTGAATATTGCCGAGATATGCCTTCATAGCTTCATGAGATGACGGAGATCGAGATGTGGCGTCATCACACGTGCGGGGGAAAAGAAGCATCTTCTGTTCCTGGTAATAAGAGAAAGGTCAGAGACACTTCTATCATATAAACAAATTCACTTTGATAGAATAATCTTCTTTGCCAATGGCTCTGTAATGACTGACACTAATGCTAGACTTCATGTCATATCTCAATTTTGCACTGAGCACGTAAATTTTGCTACGAAACTTCTACGAAAGCTTATTGAATAAATATGCCAATGCACTGCTTTCAAACCAAACCTTGTCCTTTTCCCAGCCCCTGACAATGAATTCCACTCCCGTCTTGATACCACCCTTAATCTGCTCGGGAGTGCCACGAGGTGGAGTCTTTGGGTCTCGTCTTGTATACCAGCAGATCAGGTGCACACCCGCATGAATGGCAGTCCGGAATGCCAATTCATCGCTCAGCGCACCATAGCCTTCAATAAAGCCCTGAATGGCACATATTGCATTGTCGAGACCCTTGAAATGCTTACGCTCGTAGAGATCACCCACCATTTGCCCCAAGTCATATGCCCGGTGGCCAAACTGAGCAAATTCCCAGTCAACGACGAAAAGGTTGATGGCTCCCTGCTGCTGTGCTTCTGACGCTGATGCCCCTGAAAGGAGGGCACTGTTCGTGTGTTAAGATAAGCTTCAATAGACTTTCCACGAACAAACTCACTTCCCGGACCAGAAGTCCCCGTGTATGATTCCCCAGTCATTCCCTTCGTCCTCAGACGGTTCTCTCGCAAACTCCTTCACTCCCATTCCTTTTATTTCTTCTAGGGTCTTTTGATGAGCCTGGAGAATGTCCGGAAAATTCTCAACGACCTTGATAAACACATCGTACGTGATTCGAAGCTTCAATCTTCGCATGGGCTCATTTTTCCAAACTTCTTTCCTGAGATTGGATTGCTCCGGTGCTGCACTCCACGTGTGAAATGATCGCAGCCACGCCCCCAAAGCGCGGTTGACAGATCTTATAAATGTTTCAGATGGTAGCCTGGTCTCATTTAGTGATACTAGCATAGTCTCTAAGTCTAATGTATCCTGAAAATCTTCTATGACCTGGAGATTCATGTTGGGATTGAACAGATATAGATGCGGCGTCTTGACAGAGATATGATCTGTCGTGGTCGGCAAGAACTTATTCATAGCATGAAGCATAGATTCTTCGAAAGCCTATATAAATTAAGACAATTAGATTCATCGGACCCAGCTATCGGAATATGAGTAAAGGGAGACGTTATACTTACCGATCGTGAGACATCCAGAGGAAAATCCTTATTGACAGCCACAAATTCTGCTGCATGCTTGATGATGACACTGTTGCTGGTGATTGTTGAGGTTTCGTCACGCAGAGGTGTGACGAGGTTCCCACGAAACACAAAATTGGTGGTCCCCTTAGTTAGTCTCGTCAAGGTGGAGCAAGCATACGGAGTGCTTTGCAACGACTCCAGGATGCGACTGCATAGCTGCTCCGTTTCCTCTTGCGTAAGTGGCGCCATTCCTTATTGTCTCAATCCCGAAAACCATCAATATTCAACAGTGTCGTCGTTGAACAAGCAATGGGTCTCGTATCTCAAAAATTGCTGAAATTGATGAGAATTTGGAGTATGACTCACGGGAGAAATATGCAGTGTCCGGAACGCACGCCATCGAGCGACCCCTCAATTAGTAACTGGTTTTAAAACCCTCTCACAGCAATATGACCTTGAAACAGTAGAAACCTAATTTAGCAGCTGATAATTTACGAACTCAGTGAATAATATATATTGTGACTACAAGTCAGACAGTGTGAAGTCTAAAACTCATCGATAAGCTGTTAACCAGCGACGATTGGCGAGTCTCTTGCACGTACTTCCTATGATCCCATGATACGTATAGTGAAGATGCGTTGATCTCTTGTGGCTTCAACTATGATGCGATTTCCATCATCGAGTTCAAAACAGAAAAGAAATTGGGATGACGCAAACTAGGTAGAGTAGTATGTCATCGCGCCGCCAGCTCACAAGAGGTCAGTCAATGAGGTGGATTGTGGAAGCGTCACCTCTATAAAGACTGTGAGAACAACGGCCTGTCTGTCTATATAAAGTGACCAATTCAGTATGAGCGCAGCATCACTAAATCTTGCACAAGGCAAAGTAGTATCATAGGGCTCGCCCGCGCAGCGGTGATACCCGATAGTGATTTAAACTGAGACTTTATTCAGGTACAAGAAATAATTAGACCGTATCACCGCAGTGATTCGTTTGAGATGAAGTCTTACCAAGTTGAATAGTAAGTAAGACAAGAGCTTGTTGTTGGAAACGTAGGGGAGGGTGGCTGCCTATGCTAAGCTCAACCCTACCTAACGGCCTGTTTTAGCCCTCCTATCAGGTACCTTGCCCGGAAAGCGGTTAGATAGGCAACAGCAAGATTAATACTTTAGACAGCCGTTACATTTAACATAATATTATACACTAGATCGAATTGCTAAAAGCGCCAATGGCATAACAACTTCCGTGCAAAGTTGGTTTTCCGGCCTATATACCCATAGCAATAAAAGAATGTCATCTCTAGAGAGACAGCCACCCTCAGAAGGCTCCAAGCCAACGGCACTCCCATTCCGCGATAATCTGAAGATAGTCGAACTACCGACTGCCTTGACTGGTGCTAACGAGATTGCACCTGGAGCTCAAATGCATAGCGTTCATGAGCCTAGCACAGATAAACCAACAACAGCGGGTTGGGATGCAGAGGTAAGCACTACAAAGGCCTGAAGAAGGAGGGGCCTGACAGCTCTATTGTAGCTACAGAAAAAAGTCCTGTTTATTCGCCACAAGCTTCAAAGAGGCTTCCTGAACCGCGATGAAGAACCTAAGGCAGAACATATGGAGACATTGGCCAAGTATATTAGCAGTCTTGAGGGCCTTCCAGACGTGGAGCCCCGCGTGATTCGACTGGTAAAGATCGATAAGGTGCTGAAGGCTATCTTGAAACTTGAGGACATTCCGAAGGAAGATAAATTTCATTTCAGAGGGCGGTGTGAGAGACTTTTGGAAAAGTACCACGAAACTCTAGATGCTGTAGCGAGAGGCCCTCGTGTAGTTGATCCATTGATCTTCGATGATCATGAATATCTCTTAGGAAGTTGGGTCTTCGTCGAGAAGGAAGGTAATAACAACGAGCAAAGTCCATAGTCTAAGATTTGAGGGCACTGCAAAAAAACGTTACGCAAGCTTTCGAAGATTTGTGACAATGTCAGGGGTAATCAACATTTTGCATTATTCCATGTAACTGTAGAACAAATGGGCAAGTTGTGTGAATGTAGTCAAGATTTGCAAGCTCTTCCCGCGCGGCTCCTTCACCATAATGCGCTATGTGGAAATACTTGAAGACTAGACTTGAACAACAGTAATGATGTATGTAGGCCGAAGCGATATCAGAAGCGCACGCAGGAAACGCGACATTGTTGTCACGACCTTTAGAGACATCGAACATGACTTCACCAGAGACGGTAGCGATATCCTTCATCAACATATTCTGCGCCGACAGGACACGCAAGAAACTTTCCGCTACCGACTTCGAAAACATCTACATTGTTGCGAAAGTTCTCGCACCACGTACATTAGGCACGAGCATAACGCAGAAAGGGCGCACTTACTGCCTCGGCTGGCCTACCGAGCCTGAGGATCCTCCGCACGTTTTGGATCTGGAGGCGACTGGGAAGCTCCCACCCGTTCTGATGGTGTCGAATCTCTATGACGAAGCTACAGTCACCCAATGGGCTCTCGGCCTACGTGCTCAGATGCCTACCGCGATCAATGTCTTCCGAAATGGTGGTGGACATACAAGCTACCGTTTCTACGGCGAGAGGACCGATGCGATTGTGTCATTTCTTGTGAATGGAACTCTGCCAAAGGATGGGACAGTGTTTGAGTCTTAGCATAAGGCAGGATGCATGATGACCTTAGTATTTAAGGTTTAGGAACAGCAAGGTTGTAGCTTCAATTACAAAGTACGAGTATCTAGAATTGTTATCGAAGCTGTTATCTTGATCTATATGGCCGGCTTTGCCCTGGTTAATGGTGAGGTAATTCAGGAAGCTCAGTACCTACGCGTGACTGCCTATTCTCAGGGTTTGCGTGCCTGCCGAAACGCGATTTTGCTTGATTTCAAAGAGAGAAAATACCCAGGCCCGTAAGTTCAATTAGGAAAGAGGCACTGGGGTAGGCTTACCTTCTTTCCTTACGCAATGTTCCGGGCAAGAAGTGATCATTCACCTAGGCAATTTCGGACCTGAGTCCACTGTTTACACAATCACACTTCGGCAGATATACCCAACAACTTCAGCTCCCTCAATAACCTGCCGTTTACGAGGGCATCGCCATCAATACACTCATACACTGTACGTACTGCTTACCTTTCACGTCCTCGACACTCGTGATCCATGATGGATCCGTTCTCAAGGCTCCCGCCACCTCTCCCTCTACTCATTATGGAGAATTTGCCAGACTTCAGCACCTTGCAAAAGCTTCTAGCAGCCTCGCCAGATGCTTACGCTACTTTCTGCATTTCACGTGCGCAGATTATTAGGGGCATTGCGATGAATATGCCAATCGCAGCCTCACCAGAACAGCCAGACTTGTACGACGTGCTCGAGTGCATCGCTTGTCTCGATCGCGGTGACGTCCCGGATAAACCCCAGCTATTCTCCGAGTTCAGCAAAACTTATCTCCAAGGTCGCCACAATGAGCCTTTATCGCATAGCTTTCGCACTACTGAGACGAAAATTTTGG